GTCTGGTGCCTGGATTTGGGGCTGGACCTGGAGTTTTGATTTTGGAACCATGTTTTGAAATTTGGGGGCTGGAGCTCTGGGGCTGGGGCTCTGGGCAGCCCTGGATTTGGGACTGGGCCTGGATTTGGGGGTCTGGAGCTTGGATTTGGGACCTGGCTGGGGTGGGATTGGGCCTGGATTTGGGGTGGGCTTGGATTTGGGGTCTGGAGCCTGGATTTGGGGTCTGGATTTGGGCCTGGGGCCTGGTGCCTGGACTGGGCCTGGATTTGGGGTCTGGATTTGGGGCCTGGGGCCTGGATTTGGGGTGGATTTTGGAGCTTGGAGCGGGCCTGGATTTGGGGTCTGGAGCCTGCAGATGCCTTGAAGTCTGGAGCCTGGATTTGGGGCCTGGGCCTGGATTTGGGACTGGGCCTGGATTTGGGGTCTGCAGCCTGGATTTGGGGGATTTGGGACTGGGCCTGGATGCCTGGATCCAGGCCTGGATTTGGGGCTGGGCCTGGATTTGGGGTGTGGATTTGGAGTCTGGAGCCTGGATTTGGGGGCCTGATTTGAAACTTGGGGCCTGGGTTTGGGGCCTTGGGCCTGTGGACCTGGCTGGCCTGGATCTGGGCTGGAGCTTGGATTTGGGCCTGGATTTGGGGTTTGGATTTGGGACTGGGCCTGGATTTGGAGTCGCCTAACCCTGGATTTGGGGCTGGAATTTTGAAGCTTGGATTTGGGGTGGGAGGGCCTGGTGCCTGGATTTGGGGCTGGACCTGGATTCTGGATTTGGACCTGGATATGGGGGATTATTGGAAGGTGGGCCTGGGTTGGAGGTTATGGAGAAATCGGTTTATCAAGAAGCTTGTTCCGTTTTTCATCAAGTGGCTGTTTTGAGTTGGCTGGGCTGAGTTAATGGTTGAAGTTATGGTTGTGCCCGAAATGCTGGGCCTCTGGCCTGGATTTGGGGTCTGGAGCCTGGATTTGGGGCCTAGATCCTGGATTGTGGGCCTGGATTTGGAGCCTGGATTTGGGGTCTGGAGCCTGGGTTTGGGGCCTGGGGCCTGGGTTTGGGGCTGGGCCTGGGTTTGGGGTCTGGGGCCTGGGATGGGCCTGGGGGCCTGGGGTCTGGGGCCTGGGCTTGGAGGGCCTGGCGCTTGGATTTGGGGCTGGACCTGGATTCTGGATTTGGGGTTTGGGACCTGGATTTGGGGGATTGGAAGGTGGGCCTGGGTTGGAGGTTATGGAGAAATTGGTTTATCAAGAAGCTTGTTCCGTTTTTGATCGGGTGGCTGTTTTGAGTTGGCTGGGCTGAGTTAATGGTTGAAGTTGTGGTTGTGCGAAATTGGATTATCAAGACGCTAACGCCAGTTTTATCCGAAATGTTGGGCCTTAGCGGTGGTTACAAACAAGGACAAGCAATTTCTATTTATCACTTTCTTGAGGGTTTAGGGTTTAGGGTTTAGGGGTTCAAGGGTTCAGGGTTAGTATAAGGGATATCACTTTAATCAGGTGAGGGTTTAGGGTTGAACGTTTTTGGGCCCAAAGACCATACTGCAGAAGGCTTTCGCTAAGTGTTCTATACTTTAGAGGGCAAAGGGCTTAGGAGGGCCTTGGGAGTTCAGAGTTTGCAGGAGAGTTTGGGGATTCATGGGTTCGAAAAATGGGGGACCCTAAGGGAGTACCCCCAAAAAGAAGGATCCTTGTTACAAGGACCCCACAATAAGGTACCCCTAATTTTCGGAAACTCCCGTGTTGAGGTTTGGGCTTGGGGCCTGGCCGGTGGGCATGTGTGCGATGTCAATCAGCCAAACGTGGCCTGCCTGGCAGGGTTTAAGGGTTTAAGACGTTTGGGGGGTTTAAGGTGTAGAGTCGTAGGGTTTTGGGAGTTGGAGTTTAGGGATGCGAGTTTTTAGGGTACAGGCTTTTGTTTTGGGGTTTTGGGGCTTTGCGGTTTGGAGGTTGAGGGGCCTGGTAGACAGATCGAGATTGGAGTCTGATACTCTTGGCCGGCGCGTTCTCACCCACGATGCTCCTCAGGTACACAACACCGTCTTCCACGGAATACAAGTTCAAGTCGATGGCGGTACTTTCAGCCACGTAAACGACGTCGCCGTGGGTAGGGTCTGGTGCCGTGAAGAACGTCCAGCATTCGATGAATCCGTCTCCTGAGCAATCCTCGGAGGAGGTCAGATCGTTAGGGTTTAGGGTTTTAGGGTTCAGGGTTTAGGGGCTTTAGGCTTTAGGGTTTAGGGTTTCGGGTTTAAGGTTTTAGGGTTTAGGGTTTAGGGTGGTCAAGCTCTTATAGGGCAGCCACCACACAAAGGCAGGCTTGAACAAACGAACCGAAACTCGCTCAACTGGCAGTACTATAGAAGTCTATACTATAGTAGAAATATACTCTGCTATATCACAGTGCCTAATGTACTATACAATAATCCGAGGCTCAAGAGTGACAGCCGAATTGCTGGCCGGAGCCGGGACGGGTGCAGGTGCAGGTGCAGGTGCAGGTGCAGGTGTCACTGAACCACCGCCTTAGGGAGCAGAAGGACCTACCCCACCAAAGGACATATATATATATATATATATGTGTGTGTGTGTGTGTGTGTGTGCGTGTGTACATATGTATTTGTATATATATATATATAGAGAGAGAGAGAGAGAGAGACAGACAAAATGACACACACACACACACATATATATGAACATTATATGTGTGTGTGTATGTATGTATGTATGTATATATATATATATATATATATATGTATACATATATATATATATACACACATATTTATGTTTGCTTTAAACAACGCCCTAAACATGTAATTCTGAGAAGGTCCTGTATGTAATCTGTGGCCTGTGAATGTGGACCCTTTTCGCAACTCTACTTGAAGATCGGCAGGACTTAGCACTTAGCTTGTAACAAAAACTAGCAAACTGCAGGAACCCCCGCAGGAAACTCATAACCCTGCTTTTCAATCTGCTGAGGGTTTAGGGTAAGCCCCCTGATCGTTGAAGCCTTGGGCCTTTGCTTCAGCACCTCCCAAGCTAATCCCAGAAGCCCAAGCCCGTGGTTTTCTTACTACCCCAATAAACCACAGAATTTTATGGTTAAACTATCCGATTCCCACTTTAGGGGATCTATATAAGTTTTTGGGGGCGCAGGCTTGGGGTTTAGGGTTTTGGGGTGCAGGGTTTGGGCACAGCCGAGACCTCGAGGCTCTCGTATCCAAACGGTTCCGCTAAAATCCGAGCTGCCCGACGTGGTACAGTCTTGCGACTTCTTCGGAACGGGGCATCCGGTGAAGCTGTCATCTGCAGAAGGGCAGACGGTACCTTAGCATCGCGTGACCGTCGGCAAGCACTTCCAAAAACACCATCCTAAAACAGAAGCTGCCGGAACGACCATCCACAGGAGGATCGTAATACCCGACACCTCAACTCATACCAAAACTAATAGAATAGGGTTTTGGGGAACGTCATAATGTAATCATAACAAGGAACCCCTACAATAGTATGGGTAATTATATTGAAGCACCTACATTATCCAGAAGATCGTCCGAATGGATGCCAGGTACCATCAGGGCAGCATTGGTTACCTGCACACGAAGTACCACTGTCTGGGCACGACACCGTAGCCTGGGTTCTTGTCAAGAACTTTATTTAGGTTACCATAATAAGGAAAATGTACTATAGATCGCTATTATTGAAGCTTAAATTAAATTTCTCAACATGAACCCAGTAGCACCGGCGGAGCAACGACCCGCAGAGAGAAGTTGCCGGCCACGAGCGTCATGTGTCCGAGCCTGTTCAAGGAAGAGGCGGGGGAGTTTCCACTCGAAGGGTGGAAGGACTACCATCGTAGATATTCTGGCCACGATGTAGCACATGCCAATAAAGCCTAAACCTAATTAGGTGCGTGTAGGCCTAGTCTTGAAAACTTTCGCGACTGAGCCTGCAGAAGAGATTGAGGCTCACATTCCCCTTCGGATCCTGCTGATTCTGTCTGAGTCCTTACTACCCCAATACGCCACAGATTTGAAAGGTTAAACTTTCCGATTTCTACTAAACTACACGAACCCAAAAAGTTTAAAGGTTGGGTATTGGGGATTTAAGAGTCCTCAGGCAGCTGGAGTTGTCGGAAGCGCCAAAAGCTGCGATGGATCCGCAGAGCACTAACGACAACCAACGAAGAGGAGCCATGAATATGAGAGGTGCCCGCAAAGGTTGGACAGGAACGACCGCGAGGCTCGAGTGACAAACGGCTGCGGAGGAAAAAAAAGATGAGTCATAAGCGCTGCGATGAGTGAAAGCAGCCAGAGTTTTACCGCACTACTGCAGTTGTGAGTCGTACGCACTTAGCCATGTCCATGTTATGACTCAAGCTATGACTCTAGCACGATGCCTGCTAGTTTCAAGCGGGATGCTTTGACTTTGCTGCTGCTGGAACCCAGAGTAGTACATCCAGATTGATTCTGCAGAAGGGTGCTGCGACGTTAGGGTTGACGAGTTTAGGGTGCAGCAAATCTTGCGCACGGTTCTTATTCGCTGAAGCAGCAAGACCTCCATGAGGTGACTCAGAGAAAAGTCAGAATGGCCTTGGTATGCTTTTCGCTTGAAGGATCACTCGGCAACAGCTATACTCCCACTTTGGGGCGCTTCTGTAAGTAACAAAAGAACGACTACGAATCGAGGCGGCCTCAACAAACTCAACGTCCCAGCCCGCCATAATCCGATAGTTCGCGGTCTCTCGGACAGGACTGAGATCAGGATTGCCCGCAGAACAGAAGAGACGTAGGACGCTTGGACCAGGGAGGAGTCGTTCAAGTCAGTCGGAGCCCGGGAAAAGTCAGGCGGTCAGGCCACCATAGTTCTTTCTAGGGTTTAGTTTAGGGTTTAGGGTCTTGATCAACCCGGTCTGCGTCCACGAGCATCTGCGGCATGTCTTCTTGGCCTTGGCGCAGCACCTTGTTCAATTAGCCTCACCTCGGTCTTTTCACAGACATACGCACGATCACCTAAAGTAAAAAGTTCAGATGCGCAGATACAAGTAACTGATGCCGAGCGTCGATGTCGCTGAAGCCTGCATCGCCCGCCAGCTGCACTGCAGTCTTGCCCTTCATGTCGACCAAGCTAACATCAGCTGCTATACCCAACAGCAACTGCACAAGGTCCCGATGGCCCTTCATGCTTGCCAGGTGGAGTGGAGTTTGCCCGCCACTGTTCGCTAAATTCACTTCAGCACCTGCCTCCAGCAGCAAGCGCAGCACAGCAGCCTGACCTACCCAGCAAGCCTCGTGGATAGCCACATTCGGGTCTATGGGGTATTGCAGCATCTTCTCCACCTCAACCACCTTGCCGTTCCGTATGGCGATCTTCAAGTCAAGCAGTTGCGGTGAAGGCACGTCGCAGAAGGGAAGCAACACAAGTTGAACATCCATGGCGGCATCCAGCCTTGCCTTATATGCACACCACAATGCAAAAAAAGGCCTCCCTTGGCCCCACTCTCCAACGAAGCCCTTTTTCATCCAGGCCTATTGCGAGTGCCGGGTACCCCTAAACCCTAAACCCCTAAACCGTAAATCGTGGAACCCAAACCTGCGCGCGTAGCTGCGCTGTCCTCAAGCGGCACATCGCCGCAAAGCAGCCGCTGCCTGAAACCACTATTTAGCGGGGCTAACTCGGGCACTCCCCCCATACAGGAACAGTCTATAGTAGGGCTACTATTAAGGTCCTAATATATATATATATATATATATATATATTATGACTATTATCCAACTGTTACTGAGTGGGGGCAGTACCCAAGGGCTAACTGTGTTGGGCTTAAGGGTTTTAAGGGTTTCGGGGTTTAGGGCTTAATTGGGGGTTTATAGGGCGGCTAACTGTGTTGGGTTGAAGGGTTGAAGGGTTTTCCAGCTGAGTTGGGGGTTTTATAGGCTAGAGAGCTCTACAATCCACAAGGGTTCCGTCACTCGAGCGTAGTTTTGTCTGCCTGAAGCGGGGCACGCCGCATACCTCGCGTAAGCGCTCCTTCAGTGTTCCGACCTGGGATCTTCGAAGAGAAGAGCTGTTTAGGGCTTAGGGCTCAGGGGACTGAGTAAGTAGGGTTGTAATTGGGGATATGAGTCCCCTAAGTGGGGCTATCCTAATCATAATCTTACTTGCAAAGTCACTTGGGCTTTGAAGCGGCTTTTAGTATCTTACGGATCCATTCCCCCATTCCCTGCTAAGAACCAGGGAGAGAGAAAGACTGACCACTGCCAATATACCCGGCTCTTCAGGCTTCAGAGTCTGGGGGTAACTCAATCAGGACCAACCCTACGCCTTAAACCCCATAGGCTCCTTTCGTCCCTGAGCCGTAAGACCCCATCCACTTCCGTGAAGGGCACTGCACCGTCAAAACCGTCACCCCTAAACCCCCGATGGGCCCCGAACATTGAAGAACCGAGACTCTAGCTTTAGTCTCCATTGTAGTTCCTTTTTGGGGTTACCTTTTAGGATCCTTAATATATAATTGGTTAAACCAAAACAAGGAACTACAATGGAGCCTAAAGGTAAACCCCAAACCTTCTCCAGAATACTGCCTCGCCTTTTCGCATAGGTCGACTTAACAAGGGCTCCGGGTTTAATGATTTCAGAGCTTTAGGGTTTTTGGGTATGGTGCTTACGGGGTTTAGAGTTTTAGGCTTGAGGATTTTAGAGTCTAACTGATAGATTCAGGGCATTGGGTGCTTGATGGTTGTTGGCTGTCTTGGGTTTCAAGAGGTTTTGAGGTTAAGATTGTGGTGCAGGGGTTAGGGCTTCGTCGTGCATCGTAGGCCGTTGCACAGCGCTCACAAGACAGGAATATTGACCGACATGCTTCGCAGTGATACTGTTGATGATAAAAATCCTGCATACCCCAGCATAAATATACCATAATCCCCATAGTTTAGGGCCATTGAGGTAATGAAGGTTTTTTATCATCAACCGTGGTGAATGACCTTTGGATCCAGCAATTTCGTTAGAAGTGAAACAAATTGTAATTCTCATAAACTACAAGACTCCACCCAACACCCCAATCCAAAACGTACCCTAGACATTATATGGGACTCTCAGTAGCCGTCCTAATCTTCGGCACGTGAAACATCGGCTGATTGTTGTGAAGATGTCCTACAGGAAACCTCGAATCGTAAGGAATCTATATAACCTTATGATTTTGAAACTCCAAAAAACCATTTGCAAGCCCTGAACCCTTTCGGCTGCAACAACTATCTACAGCCGCCTGCATTCAAACCATTACGAAGGACCAGACCTACCTGTTGGTAGGGCCCCGATAACTTCCATGTTAGGGCGTTTAAAGTTATGGTAGTATAGGACTTGATACGAATCCTACTGATTAACTTGGGGTTATAAGACCATGGCTTCTTAAATAGGTTTTCCTTTACATTCGGCCCGAGGGGCCGTCTTCAATTCCTTCACAGGGATGACAGTGACCTCATCGCCAGAAGTTCCACTGCGAACGCGAAGCATCAGGTCTCAGATGGTCGAAAACCCCTTGAACAGGGGCCTTCGCAGTTTCAATAGGGTTCCTCTAGACTTCATTTAATGGGGTAGCGGGCCTCTATAAGGGCTACTGTACGACGGGCTCTATACGGCTATACGGGTTACGTTGAGGGCCATTATGCTCAGCTATCAGGGTTTAATACCGTGGCCTTCCATCGTGGGGATAGGGTTTGGGGTACAGTATGGTATACTTCTTAAAAATAAGAGACTCTAAGGAATAGTGTTACAATTTAAGCTTGAAGGTTCAGTGTCAGGTCTCGCGAGGCCACCCTCTGAGGCATTACACCATGCCATCTATGTAAATATCTATGTCTCTCAACTCTCTCTCTCTCTCTCTCTCCCGTCTCTGCTTCAACTTCACATGTTTAAGGATCGAGCCGAAACTGCTGCAACGCGACTCTTGGTTTGGTGCAGTGCCCTCAGAAAGCTGGGGACAAGCTGTTGCGTCTTCTGACCAGTACACTTTGAGGATCATGGGACATAGTAACTAGGGAACTAGGGTTATAGGTAAGGTAACTATACTTATAACCCCAAATAAAGTACTTATAACCTCACTTGCTAAGTCCCCAGATCCTTTAAGCACCTGCTTTCAGCTATGGTGGATCCTGCACCCGAAACCGTGGGCTTTTCAGGATTAACTCCCCTTTTGAGCTGAATTCAGGGGGAAGGCTGCATCTCAGGACATCGGGCTTCGTTGAAAGTCTTTCTGGCGTCCCGGCTTGCAAGGTCTAGCCTGCCAGGCTGCGAGCATGTTAAAGCACCTGAAAGGTGCAGGGAGGTGTGCCCAGGCCCGCAAACTGCTTATCGCCCACTGCCTGATCCCCCTGATCCTTCAAGCATGCTGCTTGAGGCCTGTATAAACCTCTGTTGAATGGCCTAGGTAGATGTCCTGTTCAAGGTTCAAGAGACATGTAAAGTTCACACATTAAAAGCAAAGCCGCGTATGGTCGGATTGTTGCCGGGACAGCTGATATCCCGGAACCACTAGCAGCTGCCCTCCGTACATCATGGCCGCCGGTGTCATGCGTAAATCTGCAGCAGCACCCCAGAAATTGTCAACCCTAACACCTGAAGCCATAAACCCTAAACCCCTAAAACCTAAACCCCAAAGCCCTTTTTCTGAGCAGGGACTCCAATGCACTAAGCCCTGAATCCCTTGAGCCACCCAAAGCTTAAAGCCCCCCTAAAACGAAACCCCAAAGCCCCAAAACCTTAAACGCCCAGACTAACGCCCCTAACCTTGGACCCCTAAAGCCCTAAACCTGAGGGTCCATGCACCAAAGTAGCATATTCCTTTGGCCCTTAAAGTAGTCCCTGTAAAAGTAATTTTGGGGCCAAAGTATATACTACGGTTGATGATATAAATCCTGCATTACCTTAAGGACCCTAAACTATGGGAATTATGGCATATTCCTTATCATGGGTAATGCAGAATTTATGTCATCAACCGTACTTGGGCACATGGACCCGTACTTAAAGGATCGTGGGACTTAGTAAGTGGGGTTACAAGTACCTTAATTGAGGTTATAAGTATAGTCACCTTACTTATAACCCTAGTTACTAAGTCCCATGATCCTTTAAGTACCCCCAAAAGCCTTACAGAACCCTTAATAGTAGCCTGTATAGATCCCTTAAAGGAACCCTTTAAGGAAGCCTAGGCCCAAGTTACTAAGTCCCATCATGATCCTCTAAGTAGGGCAAACCCTTCAAGTCGAACAGAAGCATCGGAGCTCAGCTCAGCTGAGCTTTCGACAAGTAGAGGCTTAGTTTAGGCTTTTGGGGCTTTAGGGTTTAGTTTAGGGTTTAAGGGTTTCTATAGGATCTGTAACCGTGTCTTTGCAATTACAAGGCTTCGGCAGGATACTTGAAATTCTAGGTGTGGTTATATCATGTTGTGTCGGATTTATACACGGCTTTATGGGGTTTCGAGTTTAGTGATAGGATATATAGGGTATAGGCTGGGCTGTGGTAGCCCAATGCACAGGATGCAAAAACACAGGGTTTTAAAACCCTTAACCCGAGAACCTTGCGTACACCCAACAGTCACATTCATAAGAAGTCCAAGATTTACACACTTTTCCCTGATGCCGGACTCATTCAGCTCGGGTCGGGTGGTCTGCGAATCTGTACACAACTTCAGCCGCCTTGGGCGGAAACTGCATGACTTTCTGCGCTGGTACTGGGACTGCATGGGTTTAGGCTTTCGCGGTTAGCGTTCTGGGCTTAGGGAGCAGGTTGAAGTCTGGACAACTCTTCGTCATCCTCACAAACCCGCATTCCTCCCGGTAGAACGTACTTGGCGTCCCGATGCCTCTCGTTCTGGCTGCCCACCACTTCCCGCAAATCACGAACGGTGGAAGCAGGCTCCAGGACGAACTTGCCCAAGCAATCGCCAGCCAGAGAGAGAATCTCCACCTCCACCGCCTGAACGATGGTACTTAAAGGATCGTGGGACTTAGTAAGTGAGGTTATAAGTACCTTAATTGGGGTTATAAGTATAGTTACCTTACTTATGACCCTAGTTGCTAAGTCCCGTGATCCTCTAAGTAGGGACATAGGCTCATGGATGACATGCCGGTCCCCGGCTAGTAGACAGAGGCTTCGTCATGTTTGTGCCGCCTTGGTGAGTAAACCGTAAGTAGGGGCTTCTACGGCGTACCACGGCAGCGGTGATATGAAATGTTTTGAATACTTTAGACAGGGCTCGGGTTAATCGGCTAATACAACTGCTGCATATATAGGTAAGCAGTGAAAATGCATGCATGAACAAATTAATGTAGATATATAAGTGTATATATATATACATACGGACATAGTTACATGTATATGTATATATATATATATATATATATATATACGGACCATGATGCACTACTATTAACTACCAACCGAC